GCTGGAGAAGGTAAGGAATCATTCTTGCACTTTCTTTTGTGAATGATGGGAAAGGCAGTTGATCTAAGCGAATTTGATAGAGGATAGATTGTAATGTCCCGAAGTCACGGAATGAGTATCTCGGAACTTGTACGACTGATAGATTGTTTACGATCTGCCTTTGTTAGTAGTTATACAAAGTGGATTTAAACGACGGTGAAACCAACAGTAGACGCCGGTCCAAGTGCAAGTGTTTCGGAACACACGGTTCAGCGTACACTGTTGGATATGGGACTGCGCAGCAGACGACCCACTCGTGTGCCTCTTTTAATCAAGCGTCATTGTCAACTACGCCTACAGTGGGCTCGGGAACTTCGAGACTAGACCATGGGTAAGTGGAAGACGTTTGCCTGGTCGGATGAATTACGATTTATCATTCATGATGTCGATGGTCGTGTCTGGGTATGCCGTCTTCCAGGGTAACAGCTCTTCCCCTTTGCCCTGGACAGCAGGTCATACACAGGCTGGGGGTGTCGATATTTTGCTTTGGGGGACACTCTCATGGGCTTCTCTGGCACATTTAGTTGTGGTAGAATAAAACATGAAAATTGACAACTATCTGATCATAACTGTGGATCAGCTGCACCTTTGCATGGTTTCTGTCTTCAGCTGGAAATAGAATCTTCCAGCAGGAGAATACCCCACATCACAATTCTCGAATTCTGGAGTGGTTCCAGGAGCATAAGGAAGAATTCCATTTAATATCATGGCCAGCTAACTCGTCTGATGTTAATCCTATCGAGCATATTCGTGATGTCATGGAACTGCAGCTCAGTGCTCAGATACCATCTTGGCGCAATATTTGCGTGACATTTAGTACTAGACGTACAACCTGTCTACAATCTTCTACCAAGAATTGTAGCATCCATTTTAAGGTGAGTTGCAGCTGTTTTCAGGCCAAAGGTCGCGAAACGCGTTATTGAGTAGGTGGTCATACTGTTTTGCCCTTTCAGTGTATGTTACAAAAATCTTCAAAATTTTCTATGTGAACATTTAACACCAATGACAGTCATATTTTCAATTAATGGAAGTTCGTGCGTAGAATTTTTGAAATTTTGAAGAAATTAGTACTATGTTGCATAATTTAAATATATAACATAAATAAATAATTTTAATAGGTGTTAACTTTTAATAATATAAATGCGTGTTATAAATTTTAATTGTAAATATATGTTATAAATTTAAATTTGTGCTATAAATTACCAATTATAAATTTAAGCATCTTATAACTTTAAATAAAAAATCTGATGTGTACACCACATGACTTCCTTGTATGGAATATTAAATTATACTCAATATTTTCTGCATTTCATTTAAACATATTGAATTAACAGTTAACGAATTTTGAATTAAAGCTACTTCGTCGATAGCGCACAAATCACAACAGAATAAATGCACTCTTTAAAGTTTACTGTATTTATTAACCATAGCGACACTTTGGCGCTATGGTTAATAAATATAGTGAACAATTCGGCGCTAGATTCACTTAAAAAGTTACATCTCATTCATTTTATAACTCAGAGTGCACAAAAATTATATAATCTGAAGAATTACCACTATTAAATATTATAATAAATCTAAGACGATATATAAAAGAAATTAAACAAATAAAAAAGAAATAGTTTTTCGCAGACGTTTCAGCACCGCTTACCTAATACACATGCGTTACTAATTCAGTTCTCACTTCGCGTCAAGGCAAAAATACATAAAAATTCAAAATATTTTCATTAAAATTTGAAAGACGTAGAAAAACATAAAACACCAAGTACAGTTAAAACAATCAAAAAAACAATTTTTACAATTAAAATTACAGTTTCTACGCAAAACAAGCTAATAACTTAAATGATAGTCCAGAATGAATTAAGCATAATTTGATTCGCAATAATAAAGCTTTTATTTAAAGCTTTCGTAACTTTGTGCTCTCTTAAGAAATATTTTTAGCGCTAGACGCGTTACTTTGTTGTTGCGACCTTAGTTTCTCTCAGGAAATCCATTTTCCCGCTAAGTTTCAAATGTAAATAAACATGGCTGCCCTTGTAATAAAAAATTAGGCTTAGATTTAATTAAACATTAGGCACAAATTAAAAACTTTTAAATTGTTGGTAATTCCACAATTATTGCATTCAGGTTAACTAAAGGTATAAAAATCTTAACTAGAACAACATAATTCAATCATTCTTAAAGCAAAACATGCACAATTTACAAACATATAAGAATAATGAAATTGAGCACAAAGAAATTGACTAACAGAATGGATGTATATATAAATATATTTACATACTTTTTTTTGCGGCGGACTGGCAACCAAAATACGAGCTGCACATCTACATGTTGTAGCAGTCCTGCATACGAAATTTCAACGTTCCGAGGCCACTCGTTTTAAATTATGCGAGATACGTGCATACGTACGCACAGACGCCACGAAAAAGTCTCTTGAGAATTCATTTTAAATCAGTTTTATAATTTTTTTGGAGGGGAAAAGAGTTCTTTATTTTGTCCTTAGGTGAAGATGTCAAGCAAAAAAATTGTTAAATTGCATTCGATAGCCGTCAAAATGGATATTTTCGTTGAAATATGATACCCGAAATTTTTTGCGATTACGTTATTTCCTTTTCACTCCGTACAAGGAAGTAAAAATAGTTTTAAACGCAATTGTATGAAAGCCAAAAAATAATGTACTATTGGAAAATACACGTCTTCATATTATATCATATTCTTTATAAGTTTAGAAAATCCTTGTCTTTTAATCTTAAGCAATTCCTGCAATATATTACCTAAAACTGTACGTTATGTAAAAAAATTTCTCTCTTTCTTTCCGTATATCTATCTATCTATCTATCTATATATCTATATATCTATATATATACCGTATATATATATATATATATATATATATATATATCTATATCTATATGTATAGATTATATATATACTATATATATATCTATATATCTATATGATATAGATATATATATGCTCTATATATATATATCGATATCTAGATATATATATATTGATGCATTTGTGTAGTAGCGTTTTAAAAAGATTTCTTTGCTAAACCTGCAAGCTTCAGAGATAAAACTCGTGAAACAAAACTATTTTATGTCTTTGTAAAAGAAATATACAGAGTTTTTTTTTTACGTTGGAAAACTAATGGTCTTTCAAGATCTTACTTTACCCTATTTCCTCATAATGAGATTTTTCTTTTTGAGTGCGCGAATTAGATTTACTTCCAGCTTCTTCAAATTGCCGATTTCTTAAAACGTCCACAGCCACAAAAAGTTTGAAAGAGCTATTATTATCACATTGCTTCAAAATTGCAGATCTATTTTCTGTAGAAACCTTTCTCTCGTTGAAGATTATTTCAGTATGTCTTAGTGAATATACAGAATATACAGATTTAAGAGAGGCATTTAAGAGAGACACGAAACGCGAATTTGTGCTCATAAAATATTAACAAAACTTAGCAAGTTCTTTTAGTAAAAATACTAATATACGTGACAGTACATTCATTTATTTCTAGAGCAGCATTTAAATCATTCATCTAGAATTGATATGAATTTCTGAAAATGATTATAATGGTTGACAACAGTTGTATAGCTATCATATTCGTAAATCATTTATAAAGAATATATCTCAACGATTATCATTTTTGTAATTAATTTCCAATTTCAGGCAGTTATGTTTGTACATAATATTCAACGTCGTAACGTAGGTAATTCAGTATTGTAGTAACATATGTACTATAGGTTTTAATTATCAGTGTATAATAACATATACTTTAGTGTAATTACATTGTTAACATTGGCATCAGTATGCTTTATATTTGTTAACGGCAAAGTTTAAAATTCGGCATTGTATAAGAAGGAACATTATATGCAATATACATGTAGGCATTCTATATAATGCCGGCATTTCATACTTTGCAGGTAACATATTAATCTGTACAGTTCACTATGTATTGGTTTTATAAGAATTTTCAAATAATATTTTGTACTTTTATTGTTTATATCTTTATTTATTATTATTATTTATTTTAACGTTTTCTTTAAAAAGAGTAATGTACTTATGTTTATAACAGTTTTGCGTTATTGTACAATTTTTAGCTAAACAAAAACAAGTGATCTTACAGTACTTTTCTTCTCCTTTTACTGCTTCGTAAGTTAGTAATAGCTTCTTGCCTACTGGCTACGATAGGTTATAATTAGCTTGTTTTGTATTTACTTGTCTCGTATATTTTTCTTCTGCATATACCTTGCCTCAATGCATATATATTAAATTTTGTAGAGCTCAGTATCTTGTCTTCATACACATATAACTGTATTGGATTCACATGCTTTAGACACTTTACTTTATTAGGACTACTATTTCTTCTTATTGCCTTTGCAAACATACTGGAGTCCTGAGTAAGACTGTGTGTTTACTTAAAACTATGTTCCTCTAAATGTAGAAGATACGACACAAATGGGAAGTTTAATTACCCTTTATTCTTCACATAGTTTACAGACGTTCCCGCGCTTCGGGATACAAAGACCAGTACTTATGGTCTGAAACGTAAAAATAAGAACTAAAACTAATTAAATTGAATAAGAGCTAAACTCAAATGCTTTACAAACACTAGTAACGCGAAGATTGGCCTTTTAATCTTTATGTATGCAGTACGTAGAATGCGGGAAAACTACAATACGTCTTCAGTATCAAACAGGACTAAATTCTGGTTTTTTGCAAGCTCAATTTGCATAATCAAAAACTAAACTCTTTTATTCTGGCCGAAAGTGGAAAATAAGAGAGGACAGTAAAGTTTTAAAACAAAATAAACGTTAGTAAAACTTAAAGCATACATTCTTTTAGAATTGTGTGTGTGTGTGATTATGGCAAAGCCTCGAGGGCTATCTGCCTAAGGGGAGGGATGCCTTCGTGGAGGACTTTCTAAGGGAAACTGGCTCGTATACACGTTACACATGGGGAAAACCACGAAAACACCCATGCAGCCAGCACGTTCGCGGGATTCGAACCTCGGACCGAACTACCAGTGTTCAACGACTTTACCGCTCGGCCGCTGGTGGGCCCCTGCCAGAATTAAATAGTTCGAAAATAAGGTTTAAACGACTTTGTTGAGAACATTTAATTCTAATTTCTAACTCTAATGCGAGGCCAATCCTTTACACACATTCTCATCTAAAACTATTATTTCTAACCTAAAAGTTAAGTATGCACATGCAGACATTCTCTGGATGCAAAGATTCTTCATCTGTACTTGAATCTAAAAATAGAATTTTGTTTTTCTTCTCATCTATCTGGCTCCTTCCAGAGATCTGGAAGGAAAACTAATTTAGTAATTTGTTAGAGCATTTAGTTGGCAAATAGCATGAGCACGCTATCTGCCCATGCTCTCTGACATGTGTTGTAAAAAGAGAAATGTCAAACAAGGGCATGTATATATACGGGTGTTCAAAACTACCGCCTACCGTCAAAACACTAACGTGTTAAAATTCAACATATCAAGACCTCAGAACACACCTTAAATGAGCTCGAAACCCTGAGGTACTATTCTAAAGAGGTGAGCTATTTATGTGGTAAAATGTCAGAGAGCCTAACCTACATTCATTCATTCAATTTTTAGCTCACTTTTACAATGCATAGCGCTATTTTCAGTCATACTATTATATTTTAACTCCTAAGTCATTGCAATACTTTCACTTTTAGCGTATCAAAGTGCTTCTAGATCTTAACAGTTCACATTTATACAAGAAAACATTAACATCTGATTAATTTTAAACATAAGTGAGTGAATATGTAAATTTTAAAACATATTAGACCAGAACAGCTAATTGATAAAAAATATCAGTAAGGTAATTTTTGAATCAGAAGATGTTTTATTTAAATATTGCAAAAGAAGAAATAGGTTATTTATAAGTTGAATATGTAAATCTAACTAAATTGGAATCCCAAAGGAAATCAAGACGAATATCTTGCAAAGAATTCTCGTATTTGAGACAGGAAAACTTTTTACTCCCTTTCCCGAAAGAATACTAAATCCGTTTCGATTTTTAAAATTGAATTCTCTAAGTTTTTTTATTTGAAACTGATCGAAACATTTCGTTATAAATTAAAATGCAAATAAATCCTCTTATCTTTTTTTCCTTAAAAATCCATGGATGATTTAATTTCATATCTTATTCCTTATAAAAATGCCAAGGAAACACAAGATGATTTGATTTATAAACAATGAAATTTTACGTAAAACGTCATACTGACTGGGATGTACACATTATGGCTTCTTCTTACGGAAGCTAAAGTATGCAGAGATTCTTTTTCAAATAATGGAGACGCAGTTTATCATCTAGGATACTGGAATAGTTAAACAGTTTTCGCTAATATTTTGTTTAAACTAATGTGTCCTAGAAGTTCCGCAGTTTTAAAAAATTAAAATTTTCTTGTGATAACTTTAGTGTACTAAAATGTCCTGAAGCGAAGAACTAGTTGTCGTTATCTTGGGTGAAAAATATTTTTTGAACATTTCCAGACTTTCATGAGTAACTATAAAATCATACTAACTAACACATGAAACCTCAGAAATAATACTAAAAATACACAGCTTAAGCTGTAAAAAGAGATTAGTTGAAAGTATAATAAGGCTAAAATATAAAAAAATAATGAAAATTATTTCTTAATACCTCATTGTTGCTTGTGTATTCACCAAAACACTACATCTACATTTTATTTTGTAGAGCTAGAAGTCGAGGTTTGTCTTCTGCTGTGGCTGATACGAAAGTTTTCACTACTTTAAATAACTTAGTTTCTATATTTTGTGTTGGTATGCTCTACGTAAGCACTCAGAAAATTCTGCAAAACTATCCTAAACGCTCCTGTTTAAAAATATTTAGTCATACATTCTTCAACAACTGTGTGAAACAAACGCTGAATCATGTTTGATGTAACTCTATTACTAAAATATTTAAAAAAAAACCTGATGTGTACACCACATCACTTTCTTGTACGGAATATTAAATTATACGCATTTTTTCTTGCATTTCATTTACACTTATTGGATTGAATTAAATCTACTTCGTCGATAGCGCATAAACCACAATAGAATAATTGCACTTTTTAAAATTAACTATATTTGTTTACCATAGCGACACTCTGGCGCTAGGTTCACTTAACAGCTTTACACTTCATTCATTTTTTAACTCAGAATGCACAAAATTTATATCATCTGAAGAATTATCTAATCGTTGCAACATGTTCTATTCAAACACTATAATAAATTTAAAACGATGAATAAAAGAAATTAAACAAATAAACAAACAAACTAGAAAAAAAAAAAAGAAACAGTTTTTCACAGACGACGATTCAGTATTTCTCATTCAATTAATTCAGTTCTCACTTCGCCACATGGCAAAAATACATAAAAACTCCAAATAGCTATATTAAAAATTACGAAGTAAATCCTAAACACTTATTTCCTCGAATAAATTCCAGAATGGATTAAGCATGATTTAATTTGCAATAATAAATGAGGCTCTATCTTTGTTGTTGCTAAGCTTAGTTTCCCTAGATTGGCAACAAATCCACTATTCTGCTAAGTTTCAAATGCCAAGGTAAAAATACTTAAGCATAGCCGCACTTAAAAAACTTTTAAACTGTCGATAATTCTACAAATATTGCATGCACTAAAGGCATAAAAACCTTAACAGAAAGATAAGAACAACATAATTCAATCATTTTTAAAGCAAAAAATGCACAAATAAAATTCTCTTTAGAATTCATTTTAAATCAGTTTAATAAATTTTTTGAGGTAAAAGGGTAAAAAAGAACCCTTTTACCTCAAAAATGAGTCCTTACGTGCAGATGTCACGCAAAAACATCGTTAAATTGCATTGACAAAATATCCATTTTGACAGTGGATATTTTCGTTGAAATATGATACCCGAAATTTTTCGTGATTACCGTACTTCCTTTTTACTTAGCACAAGGAAGTAAAATGATTCACTTTACAGTATTTAACGAATACTTAGGAGCATTTCTTAACTATAAATGAGTAATCGCTCTGCCTGAAATCGATTTACATAAGCACAGATTTAAAATTAAACAATAAACCGGCGCTGACGCTTTGGAGTAGCAAGTTATTTCGCAATTCGCCAAAATATGGTACGCAGATAACCTCCATTAGCTTCTAAATTTTTTTGCAAATGCTTTAATTTTAATAATTTTAGCACAGATCTGGAACGACATTGAATCGAATAGAAGATAAAACAATGTTTAAATATAGCTTCACTGTTAGCCTGTTAATGAAACATAAAATAATTATAAAAAAAAAACTTTGTTTTTATGAAAATGATTATTCCACTGTATTTTTACAGTATTTGCGAAGATGTTTATATGTAGATCTTTCGTACAAGGAAAATGGCGTGAGCTACGAAAATTACGTCGCTGAATAAGCGCATTTGTCGCTGTATAATGCAATGTGCGCATTTTGAGTCAGCTGACTCTACATTTTGATTTGCTTTAAAACTACCTCTCTTAAAATGTATCGAAGTCTTTTCTAAAATGATTCCCTGGAGAATTCACTTTGGCTTATAGCACTTTGGAAGATTACGTTTTGAATTATAAAACACTGCTGCTGAGTTTCTTTTATTTGCCGATTATTTTTGAGGCAGCGAAGCTGCAATCCAAGCTCCCTTCTGGTGTGCTTTAACCCCGAAACATAGGCGACTTCGTCTACAGCAGTGCTAAGCCAGAGCTAAGTGGAATGCCAAAGATTGAAAAAATATGGTATTTAGTGATGAATCCTGTTCGTTTTGGGGACAAATGATAACCGCATACGTGTGTGGAGACACCTTGGTGAACGGTACAATTCCATGACGCTGTCGCGCGACACACTGCCCGCGCAGTTGGCGTAATGACAGTGTGTCTGCGTACACACCAGGCGACACACTGCCCCCAGATCATTACGCCCACACAGCAGGTGACACGCTGCCCCCAGATCATAGCCTATTCCAGCGGGTTCACTCTAATTGCGGGACGTGAAACATTAACGGGCCAGCGTTATATTGATGATATTCTTCGACATCACGTGATAATCTTTCCTAAATGGTCTTTCAGGGTCAATTTTCTAGCAAGATGGTACTCGTACGCATACAACTAAAATTGCTCTAGACTTCCTACGTCATATTCAGACACTTCCATGGCCCGCTCGCTTACCTGATGTGTCCCTATAGAGCGTGGATAGGACAAACTGAAACGTCAGATACTGCTGTGTCACTCGGTACATACTTAGGAGCTGGTTATTCAAGATCTGCAGGCCTAACTGCCTCAGGACATTATCAGACGTCTAATCAACTTAATGCCGGACCGTGTTGTGGCATGTATTGCAGCAGAAGGCGGTCCGACGCGCTATTGAAGTTACACTGTATTTGTCTAATTGTACACAGGGTATTGGCTTGATTGTCTTACAAGTGGCGTGTGAGGGTTTATTTCGTACAAGACAAAAAGAGTTCTAAATATTGACGAAGTAATAGATTGGCCTTCTACTCGTAGACTAAATCTCAGGAAATTCCTGGAAAATGTTAAAATTTGCTTTTGAATATTTGTTGGGACATTCTTCACATGAAAACCGGTGAAAATTTCGATGTTCTATTATTTGAAAATTATGGAATTTTTATAGAATATTCTTATAGTTCATCTAAAATTAAATTCCTATGAAATTTCCTCTGAATATTCTTGACCTGTGTGGTGGGACATTATCACTTCTAAATTTGAAAGGGCCTACATGAATAGGCATTTGCAAAGACTACCATTAATAAATAAGGAAATCATCGCATGCACATCAACCACTGTATGTGACTCACATATACACTTCCAAGAACACAAGAGTGAGCCTTTAAATTCTTGTCCAGGAAGAGTAATTGTACAACCACGTTAAATAAATGCCACAAGAAGTGCCAGTCGAAGTCAAAAAATACCTGCGCCCAAGAAAACTAGCATTCTCGGAAAAGAAGGATAAATGGGCACGTGAAGAAAACAGTTTCCAGAATAAAATCTAGGGAGAAAGCAGTTTTCCATTTTAAAAATAGGAACGGAAAATTTCCTTCTCTATCTGAGGAAAATCTTCTTTTGACAGAGAAAAACCGAGACAAATTGATGTCCTGAAAAGATTATTTCGTGAAAGTGAACACTTTCATTAAAAACCAGGACTGTTCCAAAACACTGGGCTATTCGGTGACCCTATATAAAAATCAGCTAGTTATATATGAAAAAAAAAAAAAAGCAAATTCTTTGTTAAAAATTGAAATCTGGATGGAGTTTGGAC